TTTCTTAGCTTTTTCGATACTTATTCCCCCGCCTTTTGGTCCTTCATGTAGGAAGTAGTAATTAACATTCTAATATCACCCCGGTGGTCATAAATGGTGTTCGTTATTCATGGTTTCGTTCTATGTGCTTGAGTATCTCGCGGCTTTGCTCCTTCCTATTGTAACTGCAAATTTGAGTCTGCGTAGCGCGCCTTCCACACAAACATCCACTCCACTCGTGCATGTTGGGGGCCTCTAATCCATCGACGATCACATCTCTTCTCGTCTCCTCAACACAACGCCCACACTTGCTTTGTTTGTGCGCCTTCATGTACACTTACGACACCACAACTGTCGACTTACGCCACATCGCAACGTTTTGTACACCCAGAATACGCTAGATTAGCTTGCTGGTTCTTCACCGATCAGTCTCGCGAATGCCGTCCACCCTGGCCCGGCAATTTCTCACCGCACGTTTAAATTTACAAGACGTTATTCTCAAGCGAGTGGCATACATGTGGGTGGGTGTGAGAGATGGAGGGGCAGTGGTGGAAGTCTTGTAGGTATAGCAGTAGCCTCTTGTGTCCAATGGGTTCACTCAGGTTAATCATCACAGTCACAAGGAAGAGCCACCAGATGACTAATTTGGGTTGCTAGTATGTTCACTGTGGCAGCGAAGGCAGCTGAACCATGAGTGCGAGTCCCGCGATGCCATGGCTGCCTATTTGTGTGTACTAGAAACTTTTGCGCAGGCAAGTACGGAGCCAGTCAAGCAATGATCACGTACTCATTTCGTAATTGGTAATAGGAGGAGCGTCACGGAACAAGACTGAGGATGACGAAGACACTGCTAACGATCTAGACGACACCAATAGACTTCGTTGCGAAGATCGCTGTCTCAATGGTCGATCTTAGCGGACGCGGAGCTGCGAGAGCGAAGCCATTCACTGTATACTCAGTCTCAACCAGTGCATTGACTCCATCAAAAGCCAATGATGACACTGCCTGCAGCGCTCCAGGACTTGCATACATCAACCCACTCAACATTGATTTCGCCTGCGCGAATTGCAATCTGGCCTACGGGTCTGGTGTCTCAAGGTGGGCGATGATAGGGCCTCTCGTATACTAACTTTCACGGAGGGATTAACTGCCCACACACTGCTACATACATCCTGCAGTGCGATTATACCTCGCCTCCGCGGTTGCCGACAGACTTCTCACGGAGAAGACCGCAAGAAGCAACTACTGCAGTCAGCTCTAGGCCTTTACCCCAGGTCTTTCGTCCTCCAAGCGATCTTCCCGCACCGGTCAAATACTGCACGTCATGGTAGCGGATCGTTTCGACCCATTCCATCCTGTCTGATCGGTCTACTCTGCAAGTGCCGATGCGCCTTGCTCTCATGCTTTTCCCGTCGGCTTCTAGTCTTGCAGAACTACTCACCGGTCACATCGCGCTCAAGACGACATCAGGCATCATTCTCTTGGAAGGATCTGCCAGCGGATAAGACGACCATGACAAAGACATGATGTTGATGACCATGACAATGGGTATTGATACCACTCACTGCAGTAGTCTTAATACTGCCGCACACTAATCAATCAAGAGTCGCCCGTGCTCGTCGGAACGACACCCTATCTACTAAGATTCATAGCTTTTGAATTTGAGGGTGGGGATAAATCAGGGGTTAGCCTGCCGTCCATTAGCGTTATACTGGCTTTATCCCTGGTGCTTCGCGGATTGACAAAACCACGGCACAGCGGCAAAGCGAACGCGAAAGTACGCACGCATCGGAGCTTCGACATTGATTAAGGCAAGCCTCGGGGTCATACTCGTCCAGCCATCTCCTGCCAGTTTAAACATGTCGATCCTGATCACGTCAACGGCTTAAACTTGGCCGAACGTACGTCTTCAGATCCCAAGATGCTCCAGGCACTGGCGTACTCCCCACACAGTGGGTATATCGGCCCGCTTCTCGCCAGATTCATCTGGTCTGGCCTCTCATGCTTCCCTTGCGTATCGGACCACGATGCCTTCACGATTGATGATCTTTGACAAATCCCTCAGCCAGACATGAACAACCCGGATTCAGACCCTTTCCGTGTCGGTCCGCTTGCACATCTTCGTATGCGACGTCGGCATACCGAACGTCGCCGACTCTGCACGCCATGTTCTATGCGTCTCTTCACCGTTCAGATCCCAGGATGGTCAGGATGTCAGACTCGTGGCTCGATGACATTGGCTTCATTGAACGGAGTACGCCCGGCCGGTACTCTATCTCGTGTGGGTCCAGGAGCAAAGCCGAAGCGCAACTATCCGTCCACGTCTCGGTGCCAGTGATCAATACAGATGGGTGCAGCCGATGCGAATATGGCTAACCGTCGCTGCATCATGCCGGAGATCGCCCCGATATGGATTCCTTCGTTCGTTTTCGCAGAAGATGGTATCATTGAGGCGAGGTGAAAGCGTGCAGATGCGTGAGACACGCAGACGTCCTGGTCTATTATGCAATGCCGTCCCAGGAACATATCCTGCATGTGGTCCTGGATCGAATAAACGCCACAGCCAAGTGGCGGCAACGGCGGCGGGGAAGGCTCACACGTACCAAGTGCTAACACAAAGTCGACACGTTATCTCCTCCTCGTACACGCGGAATACAGCGCAAAGAAAGTGTTCTCGACCGGCATACATAACCGACAGCTTTGTGTATGAAACGTATGAACCGAAGTTCGTCGATCGGTAGAGCGTTTGGTTCTCTGGCTTGCGTGCATGGCGCACGCCCCTAACCCCACCTTTTCCCAACGGTTCCACTTTTTGACCTGATCCGGCTGGAGATGTACAACCATTATCATCATAACCGCGCAGTGCGCGGCTGTCGTTATTCTGTTCGGATGTCGACGCAATGACTCAAAATATTCTTTGGGACCGAGGCGGCGATTTGCCGGTTCAGCTGGCTACTAACGACCCACTGCCTATCAGCTGCCGCGAAAGCTGCGAACTCTATCGTCCCTCGCGACACGCCTTCCCGGCTGTGCTACTGACCAGAGCAGCATGTGCACTCCTTTTGTGCCGCGTCTGCAACAGCGTTGAGCGTGTAGTAGCTGGCTAGTTGACCTTACATGTCGGCCACCACTTATTCATCATCAGCTACTGCAGACTGCTGCGAGGCGCCAGGAACCGAGGACTAGACACACGCTCGGATGGGGAAAGCAGAGCCTCCTACTAGCTGAATCCAGTTGTACTGTATACAGGATCGAATCATAAATCCGGTTGACGCCATCTTATGCAGGCGGGGTCCCACCGGCGTGGTTCGGGAATGCCAGGTGATGCAGGTCTCAACACAGCCGCCAACCGCACGTCAGCTACCCACCTTCAGAGTTTTCAGGAACGTCCGTCAGTGTGCAGGAATGCACAGTAGCCGGGCACGCGCTCGCCGAGCTCACCGGAGGATCGAAGTCACCTCATCAAAACGAAGATTGACGGACTGTCCTTGAGGCCAGTCAGGATTGATGTTCGCGTGAGCCGCTTGGAGCGCGGCGGTAGTCTACGCACGACCACATCCGGAAATACATCTACAAGGTTATTCATTGGATGCAGATTAACTTTACCCTCTTCGATGTGCATTACTCCGTAGTCTACAGAACTGTCCCGGCTCTGAGCGATTGGGTTTACCAAGTGGCCACCAGGTGTTCTTTCTTCGTCGCTCAATGCAGGGACCCAGCATCCGACCGAGCCTTGTATGCATGCAATACCGGGGGTTTCGTCACCCACCCCCTTCAACGTCTGCATCGAGATGGAGTGGGACCCATTTCCTCATATGAGGATAGATGCGTTCAGCGAAAAGTCTAGACTCGCCAATCGGATTGCAGATCGGCTGGGGAAGGAAAAGTATCCCTGTATACGCTAACTCAGCCACTCACCTCTTACCGAGTCTGAACGGAGTCGCTCTTCAGCGCCGGGAGCAGGGGCATGACTTCCCCGAAAGCTGAAATCTCACTAGCTGCCTAGTCTAAATCGTTCTATCCAAGGCCATTGTGCACTGGTATGACCAGCCGACTTATTCTTGCACGCGACTGCGGCGGTAGAGCTAGTAAAATGGGACCCTCTGACAGTTCCGTCATCACGCACAACATGTTGCCTGGTGTGAGCGGGTACCACTTTCGCCTTCACCTGGGTGCCGGTGCTGGCGTAACCGACTGCTCTGTCATTAGTTGGAAACTTTCTTTTGTACAACCCTCCCGCTTCCTCATCCTACCATTGGTGAAGTCGTTTAGCTACTTCTTCCTCCTTTACTCGAACCAGGTACCAGAGCGATAGTACATACTACACCTGGTGCGACGTGAAACGCCACCAGATCACGTAAACTCACATCTTTACACTTCCTTTTAGTTGGCTTCTTAATCGTACATCTGGTCTCACCTGGGCCTCTCTTTTCACCATCATCCATCTTTCCACGCACTGAGCTCTACACCTCTTCACTACTTCTTATCATTCAAGACGTCGTGAGAGCACTCCCCCAAAGCCATGGACAGACCGCAAGTTTCGATACCACCTGTGAGTAGTACCATCAATATCGCATCCAGCTCCAACATACTGACCCCAAACGCTAGGCTGCGAATATCCTTGGTGTAGGTTTCTCTGCTCCACCCACGACTTTGACTTGAGTCATGATACTGACATACGATCTCGTTCTCTAGACTCTCGGCACTGGTGAGTACCTCCGAACGTTTGGTGGCTAAGGACTATGCTAACTTGAGTAAAGTGTATGCAACCCCACGTCAAGCCCTTGACCCCACGAAGCACTTGCTAACAAAGGTCCGAATGCAGCTGCTGGTGTATACAAATCATCCCACAGTAAGTGTCACCCGCATCGAGATTGCACATGGCAGCTCGCTGACTTTACCGAAGAATATGGACCAACTGGCGGCGAAAGAGCACCGAAGGCCTTCCAGGCACCATGCTGATACTCTGGTCGATTTGTGCGATACCCCACATGAACGAACCTGGCCGACTCAGCTAATCAATGGATGCAGGCGGCGTACCATTTGGTGTCTATGCGATCGTTCAGGTATGCCATCAGCCATCGCACAGTCCGTCTTACCTTTTACTTACGTGTGATTAGAACTTCAACTTCGCCCTCAAATTCCAACCTCAAGCTTTCGCCAGTCTTACCCTGATCGCATGGGGCCAAACACTCTACTACCACAACAAATGGCGGGTCTGGACAGCGACTGTTGCGACCATCGCTCTCGCAGCTAGCTTCGGTATCATGGAACTCATCCTCATTCTTACACTGCGCGTAAGTCAACCGCCCATTCCACATATGCGTCCTGTCGAAAGCCACTAACGAAATACCGCACAGGGACCATACAGCCGCGGCGTCGAATGGCCCATGATGCTAATGGCCATCTCCGCCTCCGTAATCCAAGTCATCGGCCTAATCCCACCCTACTTCGAGCTCGCCAAGCGCAACGGCCGCGTCATCGGAATCGACTTCTGGTTCCTCACCATCGACTACCTCGGCGCCTTCTTCTCCCTCATGGCCGTCGTCGCACAGCAATGGTTCGATGCTCTCGGTGCCAGTCTATACATCGCCTGCATGGTCCTTGAGACTGGCATCTTTGCCAGCCAAGCAGTCTGGCTATGGCGTGTCAGACATGTGCGCAAGGAAGCTAAGAAGGCGGGCAAGACGTACGACGAATACGTTGCTGAGAATAGCGGCAAGAAGTTGCCGAGGTGTGGGAGTGAGGAGACATTTGTTGATGTTGAGACGGGGTGCGAGAAGAAGACGACGATTGGAGGTGGAGAGTATGATGCTGGTACGGCTGAGAAGACTGCCGAGAAACCATCCACGACCCAAGAGGAACGCATCGATGCCACCGAGGCGACTGCGACACCCGCATCGACATCGACAACCACATTGACGCCCATATTCACTTCGACGACAACCGCGCCATCACCCGACACACTTCAGGCTCCCCCACCTGCCGTTCTGAAGAACGACACGTCCGGTTGAACACCTCATTCCATAACTCCCTTTCCCTTTGGACATTTTGCACGGCGTTGCACCTACCATCTTCCGACTTCTTCATGTCCTGTACGATACCTCACGATGGCGATCACGGCGTACCATCTTTCCTTTCTTTCCTCAATCTGGCGACGATGGTTAAAAGCTCTTCCTGCTCCTCCTCTGGTAGGAGGTCAAAAGCTCGTTTCCTTGCAAAAAGTTGAAAATAACTTGGGTGGTTGTCTGCTATGGTTTATGGTGTTATTTGGGGATGGGGATGGGTCCCGGTGTGCGATGGCATGCCATGGCACGGGTTGTACGAGTAGGAGTTTGAAACTAATATCATGGTTGCTCTGACAGTGCGGACCTCGGTTGAGATACATTGAAGCTAAGGCTTGGAATCGACACGTGATGTGACAATGCGCGGTAGTCATGCGGGCTAGTGAGATGTCTTTGCTGGTACGGTATCGGAGTGCCTGTTTATCTGACTACAGTTTGCTACTCTCTTTACTACATTTCCTCCCCCCATCAAATGATACCAAGGGCAACGATCAACTCAACTTGCTACTCATCATCCATCTGAGCCTTGCCTCGCTGTTCCTTATTCTCAGGACCAGGCCGCTTAGTCGACACAGTACCCTTGAGCTTCGCAGTCTCAGCAACACCCTCACCCTTCTTGCTCATTTCCCCTTGCTTGGAAACCTGGGAGCTATGGTGAGTGTCACCGTTAGACAAACCCTCTTGCTTTCCAGACATGTAGTTGAAGCTCCTGGGCTTTCCGCGCGGATCGGCCTGTGGTGCTACTTAGCAATCAAGAAGTGGGAAAAGAAGGTTACATCATGTACGAACCGGATCGGCTACATGTGAAGGTGCAGCCCCGTGACCCATAGCCTTCGGGCCCAACTCTTCATTTGGGTCCGGCCTGCCGGCACCAGGTGCGCTGGGATCGCCCTTCATAGTGATCTTGTGACTGCGCATGTTTTCCTCGTTCTCGCCAGCCATCTTGCCTGGCATGGTTGGATGCGGCTGGAGATTGGCCGCGAGGTTCTGCTTTGACGAGGGACGCAGATCTGAATTTATAGCGAAATAGAGACCGCCGGTGAAGGCCATGGCTACACCTGCGAACTTACTAAAGAATACATGTTATAGGAGGATCGGGATGAGGTTGCGGTGGCATCAAAACGTACAATGTGAAATCGCTATTCTGCACCTTGGGGATGATGGGCTCGCTGGCATACTGCCTGCTCTGGGCGCCATTCCGCAGCGCATGAGGCCTAGCGCTACGAGAACATTTCGAGCCCTGTATAGTGCCTGTAGCAGAGGCGACTCGCGGCTTTGTAAAGCGAAGTAGCGGCATATTGAATCACATAGATGTAGATACTAAGTGCAATTGAGTGTGGAGGAATGATTGGTAGTTTGATTCCATCTCCCATGATATTTAGACATTTGGTGCTAGGCCAACATCAGGTTCCAAGGTTATCGTCAATGCGCGCGAGATGATGCGTCATCGATTCATCGGAGCCATCTCCGCGGTATGAGTGTCGATTTGATGAGTTGAAAAAAGCAGTACGTGCGCCGTGGACTGCATGAGCACGCGTTTCATCAGAGTTGCATGGAAGGATGACGTCTTTGCGGGGTGCGGGCGCGTGTCTGGGGAATTGGAAACTGCGGTTCTGGCTAGCGTGGTGAATACGTCATGGTTCGTTCGCGATGACCCATCCGCGACGAGCGGATTACAACTACTAAAGATACATAATATATCCATACGCAACGGCTATCCCAGCTGACAGATATCACACGTTCAAGTGGCATGTGTCGGCTGGTGGTAAGGTGTCCAATGAGCGATGTAGGCAGCGAATCTCATAAGCGAGCTAAGCAGTCCTTCCACGCGACGCGTACGAACACCCTTCAACGACGACAACAAACCATGCATTCGCCTTGAATATCTCAATATGACGACAGGCCTTGTCATGGCTGCGCATTCAATGCAGGCTGATCTAGAACCATTGCAACAGCAGCTCGTTCGTACGATGCTCAACACACAACCTCACGCCGACAGTACGACCACGGTTCTCGTCCACGGCGCGATAATCAGCCAACACATGCGGAATACCAAGTCTTGACGTGTATCTTCGTTCCGTATATTGTAGAGACAGTCTTTTGTGCGAAGATCCCTACGGCTTCTGATCAGCGTCCGATATGAACACAGTTATATCCAACTTCCGCTTGCCATGGACCGCTATATGAACACCAGGAAGCTAACAGTTGAAGCCATCCCAATAGCCCACCAAATACGCCCAGCAACCAGATCTTGAAGGCCGCGTGAGGCATTGGGTACTGGTGAGCCTGGCGACGACTCTACCGAGCATACATCCCCGTCGGAATCAGTGCTGGCGCTAGCACTCGTATTGAAGAGCAGTTCAACCCATTGGATATCGAACCAGGCCTCTTGCCCAGTATCCATACGCCCCGAGAAGGTGCCTCCGTTACTCCACAGGCTCAAAATGATCATGCTCTCTGCGTCCGGTACGTTGACTTCCGTGTCAGCCGATTGGGCACCGTTCATGTACCAGGCGCTTTTTCCGGGTATCCAGTCCAGCCTGTAGTTGTTCCAGTCCGAGGTAGGTTGGTCATCCTCCATTGAGACATTGAATGTTGCACCGTCAATGGGTACATCAGTGTCGGGGTCGGCGGTGGGCTGGTTAGAGTAGTGCACTTCGTCAGCCGTTAACCCAGTTGGTATCTCTATATCCGACTCGGACGTGTCATCATGGTATGTGAAGAAAGCCGCAACTGCACCGCTGGCTCCATTGATGCGTGCGGACATGCGGATAGAGGCGTACGTGACATTGTATTCCGCAAAGTCTAGTTCAGCGGCCACCTGGCTTCCATCGGAGAGTCTTGTCGTGTGCAAGGTGAGATAGGTAGAATCCTGCGACGCATCGGAATTCTTGCCTATGAGTGGTTAGAATTCAGTAGAAGCAACGAAAGCTTTAGCTTACTAATTGATACACGAGATGGTTTATAGTACATGTCCACTGTATCATCCCTTGGTGACGGTCTGAACCAGTCTCGTGCATTCCAACCCGAAACCCAGGGAGCAGCTTGAATGATCTTGGATTGGCCACTGGCTGATTCGGTGACTGTGTGACCCTCTCCGTAAGACTTGGCGGAAGCCGCATCGGCGTCGGCATAATCGTGTAGTTGTCTAAAGTCGTAGAAACGATGGAAGCCGTATGTTGCTGCTGTCGAACCATTGGTGGAGAACCGAGTACATTCTGCAGCGGCCTGTGCGAAGAGAGAAGATGCAGCGAAAACCAAGAAAAGAGCTGAGCTGTAAAACATGACAAACATCGAAGGTAAGCGCTTGGGATCACAGCAGAGGAGATCTGCATTCGTCACGACTTAGTAGTCGGACCAGCTTACACTACATACGTGCAGAGGTTGCCCTTTCGTGATCTTGCGGTGTGGATGTCACCTGGGTAGGCGCGGGAGCGAGACATTGACAGTAAAGACGTCTGATCTTTCAAATTCGACTTCTGGCGTTCCCTCTAGAGAGCCTCGACGTCAGCGTGCGGTGTTGCAGGGCAGTATTGTTGGTCAGGGCCGGTGCATAACAAGACGACAAGATACAAATGAGGCGTGCAGAGTTTTGTGGCTGGGTCGTGGCGCCCACTTGTCGAGTTCTCCTGCGGGTACTAGCCACCTTGTCGCTAGGTACCGTTCTTGAAACATTATATTACGTTTCTGCTGTTGAACATCGCTGCTAGTCGCGAAGGCCAGACGCGTCGATGGGACGCGTCTAACCTTCGAAGGCTTCGCGACGCGTCTGGAAATGAAAAAGCCAGCTAGCACTCATTCGAGCTAGCGCAAACACCTACCACCGGGCATTCTTCCTGCAGTCGTTCACGTCATCACCATCACCAATTCGCGAACCCCATACAGACAACATCAGCTTTGTTCTACAATTTATCTCGAAATGAGACGGTCGCACTTTTGTAGCGACCTGATTGGCTCGCTTCTCGGCGCTCTATTACAACCGTTCACCATCGGTCTCGCGCGTTGATGTGCCGACGAATAACCCCGCCGCTACTCCAACAAAGATGTGTCTCGGCAGTCATTCTGAGTCCGAAGGGCTGAAGCTTACTTGCAGTCACAATATCAAGCGGCGGCCTTACCTATCGCACGTCCCAGCTACTACAACTGCAAGATATGCGCATTTTGTCCGTTGTCAGACACACCACCCATCCTGGAATTGGCGCATCACGGGGCTCAAGGCAGCATTGCAGGCATCAACAACCAGCATTCCTGTAAGCGGATCGGATGTTTCTTACGCGCCCGACCGGTTCGCCGGGCCTGGTCCCCACTTCCCGGTAGATACAAGGCTGTCTAGAAATGGTATTGTTCCCCGCGTTGTCTGCTTACACCGTTGGTGTCTTATATATATCGTGCCTTTCTTTGCGATTCCACGATAGCGTGACAGAACCACCGAACAAAAAACATGGCTTCACAACAGCAGGCACCGCAGACCTTCACATTTCACCATGCCGACCTAGGTCCCATGACAGGCATCGTCACGCCCGACAGCGTTGTTCAGTTTCGCGCCGTGCCATACGCCACCATCCCCGCTCGCTTCAAGCAGTCTGTTCTCTCAGATACACTTGCGGGCAAGAAAGACTTCACGGAACATGGGTATGACTTGCCTTAATGCTTCCCCGGTAAGAAAAGCTAACGCCCTCAGCTATGCATGCCCTCAAGTCTTTAACGTTGACGCGGTTGGCGGCGGTAACTTCCCTGGCGAAAAGTTCCCACACTCAACGGACGAGTTGAAATGTGCTATCCTCCAGGTGAATGTACCGCTTTCGTGCCTCAAGCAGCAGCCACCCTCTTCAAGACTCCCTGTATCGGTCTACATCCATGGGGGAGGCTTCGTGCTCGGAAAGATTGACGAGCAGCACAACACATCTCTCATGGTCGAGCAGTCGATCCTTGATGGCCAACCCATTATCTCCGCGAGCATACAGTATCGATTGGGGGCGCTTGGCTATCTACATACTCCGGAGGCTGGAAATGCAAATCTCGCACTGAACGATCAACGGAATGCGCTTCTCTGGATCCAAAAGTTCATCGAGGGCTTTGGAAGGGACAAGAAGAAGGTTACTGCGTTCGGAGAGTCCGCTGGCTCCATGTCAATTTGCGCCCACATGCTACGCCAACCTCCGTCTTCGGGTCCTCTGTTCCAGAGAGCGATTCTCATGTCTGGCATTATGGGGCCAACGACAGCACCGCTATCACCCGAAAACGCAAGCGAGACATACAACAGCTTCTTGAGAAGAGTTGGGATTGAAGAAGAAGGCGAGGCAGGTCTGGAGAAATTACGTCAAGTGGACGTACAAAAGATTGTCGAAGAATCCGCCGAGCATCGAGCAGCTGGTAATATGTGGCTTTCGGTTCAAGATTCAGAATGGTTTGGTGATGAAGCGGGCTCTGTGACATGGGACCGCTTTCCTGAGTTGCTTGGCAAATGCGAGTGGGTCAACGAGATCATTCTGGGAACTACAGGCTTTGAGGTGAGTCGATGCTTCTCAATCGTACGTCCAAACCGAGAATCTTACTCAGACATACAGGGCGTCACGTTGATGTCAGGAATTACTGCTGTCAGCCCGGACGCTTTCCTCAAAGGCATCGCAAAGCAATTAGGCGAGAAAAGCGCGGGCCTCGTCGAGCGAGCTTACGGCATCTCGCCGGGAATGGACAAGAACGTGTTCATAACTGCAGGCGCACGTTGGGTAGGCGACGTCGTTTTTGATGGTGAGACATTCCGCATTATGTTGTGTGCATAGCTGATAGTTGTAGCGCCGACTCACTACTTAGCTCAGTATCTCACCCAGCATACGAATAAGAAGGTCTATCGGTACGTATTCGACGTCCGCAATCCTTTCGCTACCAGTCCCTTCTGGCAGCAAGCGCATCACTGGGTCGACGTGTACTACGTGTTCAAGACGTACCAATTCCGCTACCCGTCACAAAGACTCAAACATATCTCTACCCAACACGCACGAACTTGGAACAGCTTCGCGAATGGAGAAACGCCGTGGAAAGAATACAAATATACCGGCAAAGGCGACGAAGTGGTGATGGTGGCAGACGAGAGAGATGGCTGGGTAGAGAGGACTGTTGAGGAGCACGAGAAAGTGGTGGACAACAGCTGGCGGAGGTGTGAAGCGTTGGTGGAGAGCTGGGACAGCATGCGCGGGAAGCATTTCTCGCCTTTTCAAATCGAGCCAATGAAGGCGAACAAGGTAGCCTAGATTAGATGGTGAGGACACCTTATACAAGGGAAAAACTGAACACCCTAGAGGCTACATCAAGAAGAAAACTTGCAAATTAGGTGGCCTAACGTCGATGTAGGCTCTAGACGTGTCCAGGTTTTCCCTAGATTGACGTGAGGATATCATCCGGTGCTTCTCGATCATTTTGAGTCATATGGCGCTAGGCTGGATTACACTTAGTGGCTTCTTCTTGCGGCGGAAGACCGTCCGAGTCATCTCTTCTATCGTCTTACCAAGTGTACAAGTATCCGCAAGACTGTTCATGCGTCTCATCAATCCCGGCACACCTCAAGATGACTTCCCAACAGTCCTCAACACCGTTTTCGCGCTTCGCCCTTATCACATCTCGACTCATCATTGTACCTACCCCTTTGGCTATCTCGATACCGGCTTATGTCACTCTTTTCGCGAACCTCCTCGCCGACACCTCTTTCTGTGAGATGGGATTCGGCGATAAGTTTCCGGTAGTGAAGCGCACGCAAGAAGAAATGCATAAGTCGATCGCTACACGAGATATTGCGCAATGTTGGGAGAAGAGGGGATTGGGCACTTTTGCAGTTGGCTGGCGACCGAAAGAGCAAGTCAGCGATGATATGGGTCGGTCTTTAAAAGATGCGAGCGAGAAAGTCCGGATCATCCATGGAAATGAGATGGATAACGTGTGCCAAATACTCGGCGCAATCGAATGGCTAGGCTATGCAGGCGTCAGAGATGCAACTACAACCTCTCTGCCCCCACGCGACGACTCGGACGATCCGCTACCACCGTGGGAAGAGATGGTCGAAATGCTCTATGGTGTTGCGCCGGCGTATTGGGGTCAGGGTGTAGCTCGTGAGGCTGCGGAAGCAGTCATGCATTGGGCGGCGGTGGAGAAGGGTGTCAGGAGGTTCATCGCTGAGACAGAAAAGCCCAATGCGAGGAGTGGAAGAGTGTTGGAGAAGATGGGGTTCAGGAAGAGTGGTACTAACTATTGGAAGAATGAAGATGAGTTCGAGTGGGAGAGGGACGCTAAGAGCCTTGAGTAGGCGGGTTTGTGTTGTTTGCGCGCAATCTGAGACGGTAACGAGCTCCATGCAGCAATATTGCATTCATTGTATCTTTTATGTTGTCTTCAGCTGTTAATAAGCTGTTGTAGGTATCCAAGCCAGTCCGCTGTGACTTGCAAGGTTGCTCTCAGCAATGCCTTTTCACACTTTCTCATGCAAGAAGGACGGCAAAATGCTAAGCTCTTATCGCGCTCCTTTCTGCTTGAGAGACCCCTTCGCTTTCTTCGCCTTGGGCCACCCATCCACCTCTTTCTCATCTGCCTCATCTAGCGACACGACTGTTTCTGATGGCCGGCCGTCGTGACGATCGTTGACAATCACCTGAACTCGCCGCTCTTGCTGAACCAAAAAGCCCATCATCAACCACTTCCCTAAACTGAGAAGGACGTCAAATGTACTCCGAGTATAACAAGTTCTAAGATATATGTCTACGCAGTTAATGCGGACCC